TTCTTGCCGAAGATAGCTCGAACTTATTTAATGATACTTAACTTCAGTAAGTGGACTGTAATATTAACAATAACAATTTTATTTTAACAAAAACAACATTATTGAATACTAGCACACGCATGTGCTTATAGTTACCTATGTAACTTAGCTAAAGAGCGAGCAACCATATGCTCTTACATCAAGTCAGAAATCATTCATACTAATAAAGCAAAAACGAAATAACTTTAGGGTTACACTAAAGCCAAACTCTGCTTGGCGTAAAACAATGCTGCCAAGCAATACTCTTTCAGACACCGAACATCCCGCCCGGCGTTGAAATATTAATTTCAATACAATAAGTAAAATTCAAAAAAGTAATAAATGTTCATACAATACAAAATGATACAATGTAAATTAATGCACAAATTATAATACAAGTAATTACAATGTGAAAAGAACAAATATGATGGATTACAATTCAAACCTTCAAATAAACATAAAAATTCGTACATTATTTCTCAATTGGCAGTACAGCAATTTTAGTAACTGCTCGTTTATAAATACCATTTTTGGTTTTGACAGAGACAACTCGCACAAGGTTGTCCTTCCCATAAAACACATCTACAATTCTCCCTAACAACCATTTACAGGTAGGAAGATTTTCTTCCTTGATCACTACCATATCCCCTATTTTAATATTTTGTTTAGCAATCATCCATTTATTTCTTTGAATCAAAGTGCTCAAGTAATTATTAGTCCAGTTCTTCCATATATTTTGTACCATTTTTGTAGTTTTTTGCCATAAACTAAGTCTGTTATTATCTACTTCTGTTAAATTGGGTTCAATTATTGAATTGATCGGTCGGTCGACCTATAAGGAAATGACCAGGGGTCAAAACATTTAAATCATCAATATTAGAAGTTAACGGTGGTGTAAGAGGGCGAGAATTTAAGATTCCCTCTACTTGAACTGTTACTGTCAAAAATTCTTTCGTAGGTTAATACTGAATTTCCTACTGTTCGTTTAAAATGAAATTTAAAGGATTTTACTCCTGCTTCAGATAGACCATTAAAATTTGGTGCTCTTGGGGGTATAAACTTCCATTGTATACCTTCCTCGGCTAGAAAATTAGCTAAAGTTCCATTCTGCTTTAGAAAAATACTCATTAATTTTTTTATTTCTGTATTTGCACTAACAAAGTTTTTTGCATTGTCACTAAATATTTTTTTTGGTTTACCTCGTCGGGCAAAGAACCTCTTCAGACAAGCAATGAATGCTTCTGTGGTTAAGTCATTGACAATCTCTAGATGAATTGCTTTTGTCACCATACAACAAAAAATACAAACATATATCTTATGATAGTTACCCTTGCGTTGCCCTTTGTACTTTATCAAAAATGGGCCGCAGTAATCAATATCACAACAATTAAATGTAAAGTTAATATTAATTGTCTCTTTAGGTAATTCTCCCATTAGTTGTTGAGAAATTACTGGTTTTGCCTAGCAAATTAGCTAGTTTTGGACTGCCTTTCTAGCTATATTTCTGCCGTTCATGGGCCAATAAATTTGTCTAATAGAATTTAACAGTGATAGTGGACCATTAGGAAAATCCCTTTCATGAAATTAATAAATATAAGTTCAGTTAACTTATTCTTGGCAGGCAAAATAATGGGATGTCTTTGATTATAATTTAAATTTGAATTCTTTATCCTACCACCTACCCTTATCAGACCTTTTTCATCTAAGAAGGGATCAAAATATTTTAACTTACTCCTTGATGTTATCTGTAGACCTTTCTGCAACAAAGAAATTTCTTCTGCAAAATACCTACCTTGGATATATTTAAGGAGTGTATTCCTTGACAGCTCCATTTCATCTATACTAATACTACCTGTTCGTTTCTCACTTGTGTTCCTACAGTTGTAGATAAATCTGAAAAGTAAACTAAGAATTCGTATTAGTTTCAAGAAATCATTAGTTATTTTTAGGAAGTCATCAAAGAATGAATCAGTTTTTAAAGTCAACAAGGAAGTCGTAACTGGTTTCAGTTCTGAAGAATAAAGCTCATCACTAAGTCCATTTTTATCTTGAAAATTGTCCTTGTTTTTAAAAAATCAGGACCTTTCCACCACAGCTTGTTAGATCCAAGAGTTGTAGCATCTGATCCTCTGGAAATGATGTCGGCTGGGTTCATTTCTGAAGACACATGTCCCCACTGATAGTTAGAAGTAAGAGTTAGTAGTCTTATTGTTGAATTTCTGAGACTCTATTACTCACAAAGGTTTTTCAAAAGATGCGGTGATGTATTGATCCAGGCTAAAGCAATGCTTGAATCTGACCAGAGCTTAACGTCATCAATTTTGAGTTTCAAAGCTTCTAAAACCTTTTGCATAAGTTTGGACAGGAGTAGTTCTAATCTAGGAATAGTCATAGTCTTGATTGGTGCTACAAAGAAATTGGTGCTACAATATTCACCAGGCCTTGTAATGCTTTGAAGATATATCACTGCCCCAAATGCCTTTTCGGAGGCATCCGCAAATCCCTGTAAAATGAGCATTGAAAAAGGTCTCTTTTAAAATGCAACGAGGTACTTGTATATTTTCTATACTCTGAAGAGTTTTAATAAGCACATTCCATTCATTGGCAAGAGGTGGTTGGTAACTGTTCCGCCCAGTCTAGCTTAAGCAACCAAAGTGCTTGCATGAATATCTTTGCCTTGCTAATAATAGGACCGAGTAGGCCTAAAGGATCATATAATCTCGCTATTTGAGATAAAACATCTCTCTTCGTAACATCAGGCTTTTCATTAACAGTAACTTTATATTGCAATGTATCCTTCTTATTATTCCACAACATACCTAACGTCTTCACAGTTGTATTACTATTACGATCAAATGAAAAAATTCTGTAAATCAGAGTTCTGAGAATCAAAACTAGTACACCACTTGTGTAGCTTCATTCCTCCTCTTTGGAGCAATTCTGTCAAATCTTTCTGGAGCTGAATGCATTCCTTCAAATTCGAAGATCCAGTAAGACAGTCGTCTACATAGAAATCTTCCAAGACCACTTTCGATGCTACAGGAAAATCCTTTTCTTCATCCTTCGCTAACTGTTGAAGAGTCCTTTGTGCCAAATATGGAGCGCATGCTGTGCCATAAGTTACCGTTTTGAGTCTGTATAGTTCTATAGGCTTATCTTCATCTTCCTTCCAAAGTATTTTTCTGATATTTGGTCTGCGATGGCAATATTTCAATTTGTCGAAACATCTTCTCAATATCGGCAGTAGTAAATGCATAAATATGCTTTCTAAACCGTATCATGATGGAAAAAAGTTCCTCTTGAATCATTCCACCTTTACATAATATGTCGTTCAATGAACAACCGTTAGTAGTTTTGGCACTCGCGTCGAACACAACGCGTAACTTTGTTGTTTTACTATCAGGTTTCAGCACGCCATGATGAGGAAGAAAATATCCTCCTTCAGTTTCAGAATAGTCTTCCATCCTCTCCATATGATTTAATGATTCATATTCCCTTAAAAATGAAACATAAAGTTCTTTCATTACAGAATCACTGACAAACGTTTCCACAATTGATTCAGTCTTTTTTCAGCGATTTCCTTTGAATCCCCTAATTGTATGTTTTCACCAATATCTGGCTTGAACGGCATTTTAACCACATATCTTCCATCCGCATGCCGGTAAAATAAAATGAGTTTTTCAAAAAGTTCGTTGCAATAATTTAATTCAGAATTAACTGTAGATTTAGTTTCATTTACTTCTTCAACTTCCCAGAATGACTTTACTAAGTTATTTAACGAATTAATCTCTGTTGACAAAATTTGACAAAAAACAATAATTTAAGTCATAATTTTTTTACATTTGGAATTCTAATGCTTCCAGAAACTAAAAAGCCGAAGCAGCTGTTTTGAAGAAGTAACTCATTATCTTCTAAACGTATTTTATCTGTGTTTTTTTTAATTTAAAAAAAATAATTCCGCTCCTAATAATAAATCTACCTTTTTTGCCTTGAAAAATTCATCATCAGCTAACTTTATTCCTTTCGGAATATTTAATTTCGAAATATCAATAGATTTCGATGGTGTCATGTCAGTTATTTTGGGAACAACTAATAACTCTATTTCCCATTCATTTTCCTTTTCTAAGTTCGATAAACGCGTCTTTATTTGCGATTTAACATTCAAAGTAGTGTTGCCTATTCCACTAACTGGAATAAATGCTCGTTCTTTTTTTATTCCTAATGAGTTCATAACACCTACAGTACAAAAATTAGAAGTCGAAGCTGAATCAAGCACGGCTCTAAAAGGAATTCGTTCATCGTAAACATCGCGAAGATAAACAATCGCTGTATTTATTAACACAAATTTAGATTTATTTGCAGCTGCCATCAAAGTTGTGTGGGGGGGGAGAGGGGCAGTCCTCTTTCCCATTCACTGACGAAAGGTTCAAGGTTAATTCATTTTCTTTCGATGATTCATTTTGTTTTTCGTCAATTTTATGTAACAGCGAATGATGTGTGTCTTTCTTACAGACATAACAATTGAGTTTAGCCTTACACTGCGATAATACGTGTGATGGAGAAAGGCATTTAATGCATAATTTATATTCTTTAACAAAATCATACCGCTCAGAAACAGAAATACTCTTAAATTTCGAACAATGATAAATTGGGTGTGGTTCTTTACACATAATACACTTTCGAAAAGGGTTTGTTTTAGTTACCAAGGATTTTGAATTTCTAGAGCGACTTAATTGATTTGATACTTTAGTAGCATAGCTCTGCTTAGGAAAACTAACTTTGTTTATTTCTTCAAGAATGCGAATTCTTTCTTCGAGAAATTCTAAAAAATTCATCAAGTTTGGGAATTTCATTTGATTTTACGTTTAGTTCAAATGCTTTTCTAGATTCTCTATCTAATTTATGCAATAAAATATTTAATATCAAAACATCAGATAAATTATTTCTATCAAATTCTAATACACTTAAAGATCTCAAACATCTTTTAACATTATCTACCAGTGATCTCAACTGAGAAGGTGAGTCATTTATTTTTTCAAATTTCAACAAATTATTGATAAAGGCATCAACTACTGCTCTTTTGTTTTCATATCTGCTTTCAAGTGCAGAAAATAGCGACTCAAATGTATCCTGACATGATTCTAACATTTTTGCTTCACCTTTAAGTGATGCTTTCAAATAAAACAGTTTCTCAGTATCATTTTTAAATTATTATTATTACCAATCATAGACATAAATTGCACTTTAAAATTTTTAAAATCTTCATATTTACCATAAAATTGAGGAAGAGGTAAATCAGGCAGTTTAAAATTTGATTTAGAAACAGTTTTGGTTTCAAATTTATCTTATTATTTGTTTCACAATTAGAAAGAAAAATTCTAAATCTTACTTCGAACTCTTCGATGCTTTCTTCCAATTCTTGTGTAATGCTTAGATTATCCTTCAAGTCAATTTCCTCTGGCAAATTGGTGTATTCCACTATGAGTTGTTTAACCCGAGATTTTAATTCCAACAAAGAATCCAATTTAGTCTTCATAATAACATCATGGTTGAGTTTATTCTCCTCCATTTTATACTCATCAAGGAATTTTATCAAAGCTCCGAGTTTCGTTTTCACTACGCCGCGTTGGCGATTCAATGAAACAATATTAGTAGCCATATTTTCTTCTCCGGCTAACGTGAGACCAAACTGTTCTTGCCGAAGATAGCTCGAACTTATTTAATGATACTTAACTTCAGTAAGTGGACTGTAATATTAACAATAACAATTTTATTTTAAACAAAAACAACATTATTGAATACTAGCACACGCATGTGCTTATAGTTACCTATGTAACTTAGCTAAAGAGCGAGCAACCATATGCTCTTACATCAAGTCAGAAATCATTCATACTAATACAGCAAAAACGAAATAACTTTAGGGTTACACTAAAGCCAAACTCTGCTTGGCGTAAAACAATGCTGCCAAGCAATACTCTTTCAGACACCGAACAATAATAATAAATATAATTAAAAAACACCAAAAACAAAACAACAAAAACACAAGACATTAAGTAAATTAATATATGTACGGAGCGGGCTGCAGAAAGAAGTCAATCCAGGCTGTCAGTTATGCTTTTAGCAATGGTAGTGCAGTCTCTAATGCGGCTGAGAGCATATTTATTCCTTCTTGAACCATGTCGGCATTTTGATTGCAGTTGGTCTTTTTAAATGTGAATTCCCTGTGTGCGAGCAGTCAAACAGATAGTGATCTGAATCACCAGAACTGCCACAAATACATTGGTGACTGTCTCTTACGCGAAATCTGTGAAGATAGGACATATATGGGCCATGCCCTTGTCAGATACTGTATGAGGCGCTATTTAAATTGTGGTTACCTTTTGGTTGGAAATCATACAGTCTTCTGCCTGTGGTGCTTGTCTTCCCAATAGTTTTGCTACTGCTTCATTAGTTCACATTTGAGGGCGAAGTTCTATTGTCTTAGTGAGAGAGATACCAGATATTCTGGCTAGCACGCGTCCGCTATTTTTGGCTACTCTCTCGTAAGCTATTATTACGCTCGGCCGTACTTTAGGCCCTTGATCGCTTCGCAGTCAATTAGCATTAAGGGGCCAACTCCGTCAGAATCTTGAGAGCTTCGGCTATATCTCTTTAATTAAGATTAGTTTAGTTTAATTCTTAGTTTCTTAAGTTGACGTCCGAGTGTCGGCTTTATTGTACAACTCCAAGACGGAGTTCTTTTAAACCTTATTTGAATAATAAAGGGACAATTAACCCTTTTCAAGTTTATTTACTGTCTCGTGAACTCAAGCGATTATTCGCTTGCTAGTTCTTAAGATTCTTCACATCCAGCTGTAACTTAGAATTACGCATTGGGGAATCCTACAACTAAAAATAGATAAATGAACAGACTAGTACTAGTTTAAACTATAAAATTCAGCAAAACGTAATAGAAGATCGGGATGAACTTCTTCATTACGATACTACACACTACAGTTAACCACTCGTAGAAAAGAATAACTTCCTAAGGGATAACTGACCGTTATTTATGCTGCAGACGAGAAAAATGACTGAACGTCTGGTGCAGCTAAGCTTTTTCTATCATTGAGAATTTTTCGGGGGGCGAATTATTAGTATTTAGCCTTTCGGCAATGATCGGTCCACCTTTAGATTGTTGTTGACATTGCAATGTCGTGTATTCTTAGCCATCATAAAATGTATGCGACGTTGAAGTCCGTTTGGTGAATTATCACAAAGCCCTTTAACCCTTTCCGGCAAGCTACCTTTTAAAGCCAGAGTTTTGATTTAAAAAATAAGGTAAACAGTTTAATTAGGCCTAGAGGAGTACACAAGTAAAATTTTGTGAAGATAGCACTTATCGTTTTAATTCTGTGGGTGTGTCCAAAGTGGCACACTGATTGAATAGAGCTTCGAAACGAGTGCTGAAACGAGCATTGTTGTCAATGAACTGACCGATGAGATGCGGAGAAACAAAGAATACAG